TCAACCGACTTAAATTTACTGTGAACGAGAAACAGCCAATGCTGGATCTCGACAACTACTGGATGAACCGGATTAAAGGACCCGAGAGCCATCAGGCCACTATGAGAGTCAACAACAACTACAAAGGAAGACTGACAACGAGAAAGCAGGAGACGAAGAACAGAGAGAATAGCATAAAGCTCTGCTGTAAAGATGCTAGTCTCCAGAGGTAAGCGACACACAAGAGCAATCAGGAAAAACAACAGAGTAGCTAACACCGTCTGCAGACTTAGACCCATCGGTGAAGACAAATGGAGCGGGAGTGAGAAGAAAAGTGCTCAAGGAAAAGGCGTTTTAGAACCGTAGGAGGGGTAAAAGCTTTAGTGATACGGGTCAAAGAACTACAAAACCGTAGAAGAGGGACTCTCCATGGGGGCAAAGAACGAACAACACAAGGAGAAACAAAAATATGAACGGAGAGAGAATCCTGTAGGCGAGATAACCGGACAGAAAGAGGGAGGTGGTGAAGACGAACAGGAACCGCAGGAGGGGTAAAAGTTAAAGCACGACAGAGGCGAGAGGAAGGATGTTGTAAGGACCGCGCAAGATAGCGAAGACAGTAGCGATCAAGGCGGTCTTGGAGAGACATGAAGCCACTGTCAACATACAAGCTAAGGACGGGAGTCGAACGAAAGGCACCAGAACTGACGCGCAACCCAGTATGGTGCAAAGCATCAAGACAGCGAAGAGTAGAAGGAGAAGCAGATGAGTAAGCAGGGCAACCATAATCGAGCTTGGACAGGACGAGAGAGGAATGTAAAGCAAGGAGTGCGCGCCTATCTGCCCCCCCCCCCCAAGAAGTATGGGACAAGACCCGATGGAGGGTAAGAGCCTTAGAGCACTCAACACGGAGGTAAGAGATATGGGGAGACCAAGACAAACGAGTGTCAAGGAATAACCCCAAAAGCTTCGCAGAATCTTTGTACTCAAGGGGATGACCATAAAGTGACAGAGGGACGAAGAACGACCCGTTTCCCCGTAAAAGTCATGGCACAAGTCTTAGAAGTAGAGAACTTGAAGCCATGATCGGTGGCCCAAGACGACACGACATCAATTGCAAGTTGAAGCCGGCGCTGAAGGAGAGGCGAATCATCACCCTGACAGCAAAGGGTAAGATCATGGACAGAGAGCGGAGAAGACACCTGAAGGAAGAAAGGAAAGAAGACCATTGAGGGCAACCAGAAAAAGATTAGTGCTCAGAACACTACCCTGGGGCACACCTTCGTATTGCTGAAAAGAGGCAGAGAGAGCGGTACCAAGGCGCACCCGAAAGGAACGACGAGAGAGGAAGCTGCGGAGAAAGAGGGAGATGACCACGAAGGCCAAAAGAATGAAGTTGAGATGGAATATGATATCGCCAAGTGGTGTCGTAAGCCTTTTCCAGGTCAAAAAGGATGGCAACAACGGAGGTCTTCGCAGCAAAAGCAGTACGAATATAGACCTCCAAGTTCACCAGGACATCTGTCCTGCTGCGGCACTTGCAGAAACCAAATTGAGAAGGGGAGAGGAGGTGATGGTGTTCCAGGAACCACATCACACGAACGTTAACCATACGTTCAAACAGTTTGCAGACAACTTGTGAGAGCAATAGGGCGAAAGTCCTTAGGGGAAGTACCCAGAGACCCTCGTTTGCGAACAGGGAGGACAACGGCATCGAGCCAGTCCTCAGGGACTGACGACGACTCCCACATCCGATTATACAGACTCGGTAAATACTGAGACGTGCACGGAGGGAGATGGCGAAGCATCTCATAATGAATACCATCGGAGCTCGCCGCCGTAGAACCGCAGAGGGCCAGGGCAGAACGAAGTTCAGAGAGAGAGAGAAGGGATCATTATAGGGAAGCTGAAGATGAGTGCAGAAATCTAAAGGACGAGACTCTAGGACAGGTTTACGAAGAAGGAAACGTTGGGGAACATGAAGACCAGAGCCAACAGAACAAATGTGAGAACCCAGTTCGGTAGCGACCTGCAACAGGTCCGCCACAAGAGTACCACGGAGCTGAAGGACCGGGCAAACATCGGGAACGAACTTACCCGCAATCTTGCGGATATGCTTCCAGATCTGTGGCAGAGGAGTTTCGGAGGTCATTGTGGAGACAAAAGTCAAACGTTCACGTTTAGCCATACGGATGGCCCTACGGGCCACCGCACTCGCTTTCCCAAAGCGAAGAAAAGATTCGGTCGTCTGCCGACGGCGGTGCCTCTTCCAGGCTGCACGCTTACAGCGGACAGCCCGAGCACAGTCCACATTCCACCAGGGAACGCACTTCCGTGTGCCCCGGGAGGAAGAGCGAGGGATAGAGCTGAGGGCAGCGTTGAAGACAGTGTCAAAAAAGGAGGAGGGCGCGAGGAAGAGGCAGAGAGGAGAGGTCAGAGAAAGTAGCACGGAGGGTGAATAGGCACCAGTCAGCCTTGGCAAACTGCCACCTAGGGAAGGAAAGGGGAGGGTGGAGAGAAAAAGGAAACTAGGATGGGGAAATGATCACTGTTATGGAGGTCATCAAGAACCCGCCACGTGAAATCTAAGTAGAGGGACGACGAGCAGAGAGAAACATCAAGACAGGAAAGGGTGCAAGTTCGAGAATCCACATGAGGGGGCTCACCAGAATTCAGAAGAGATAGAGATGAAGCGAGGACGAACGGTTCGAGAAGACGACCTCGGGTCTTTGTCAGAACATCACCCCAGAGGGAATGTCGACAGTTGAAATCACCCAAAAGGAGCACCGGCTCTGGCAAGGAGTCCAGGTGGTGCTTAAGATCAGGAAGGGAAAGAGGAACATTTGGAGGGAGATAAATGGAACAGACCGTATACCATTTACCCACAAAAACACGGCCAGCAGAACAATGGATAGGGGACGGAAGAACTAGGGGACGAAGGGAATATCAGAACGAATTAAGAGAGCAGTAGAGTTATGGGCCCCAGCAAGAGATAGGGGGGGGGGGGGAGAAAGGAATGTAAACGAAAGTGACCAGGACGAGCACCAAGCATTGGTTCCTGGAGACAAACACAAAGTGGTGAAAACTGTAATTAGAAGTTGGAGTTCATGGAAGTTGGCATAAAATCCACGAATATTCCACTGAAGAATAGACATTATCAAAGAGAAAGGACAGTAACAGAGAACAAGAAAGAAATAAAGGGAAAGAGGAACACAGTTTACTAAAGGATCTCAGGATCAGGGTCAGGATCGGCAAAATCAGGGTTAGGGGGCATGGGTAAACTTAGTAGGGAGAGAGGGAAGGGGGCGAGAGAACAGACCAGAGGCGGACTGACGGGGTCCGGAGGAGGAGGGGACAACTGAGAGGGGCAGGCAAGGACAGCTGGAGGAGGGGGGGGGGGCAGAAATCAGGGAGTGCACCTCAGGAAGGGCAGCAACAAAGAGGGAATCGGGGGCAGAAGAAACCTCCATATCAGAGACAGGGGCTTCGACTACTGAAATGGGAAGGGATGTAGTGACAGTCAGCGGAAGGGGGCGAGGAAGAAAGTGAAACCACCTTACCCGCCGGAGAGGAAGAAGGAGAGGAGCCAGGCTTACGTTTCTAAGAGACAGGCGTTCCAGTAACAACGTACCGGGCGACAGACTCTATGGTCTCAGCAGGAGAAGAGGAACGGGAGCGAACAACACGAAGATTGCTGATGGATTAAGAGGTGGCATGATGGATATCAGCCTGGACAGACAGGTGGCGTGGAGGGTCAAGAGACTCAAGAGACAGGAGGGAGGGACGGGAAGAAAGAGTGGGGGGAGATGGGGAAGAAGACAAAGGAGATATGGCGGACTGGGTAGGAAGGGGGGAAATCCCAGACGGAGAACCGGGAGGGAGACCATCCGGGACAGAAGGCAAAGGAATAGGGGAGGAGGTGGTGGGTGTGGTCGGGTTTAAGGCCTGGAAACGGTTGTGAGACTGAGGAAGACGGGAAGGACGAGGAGAGGTAGAACACGCGAGCGTAGGAGACGCCTGCGAAAGGGGCGAGACGACGAACTTTGCGTCTCGCTTCAGGAAAAGATACACGATCACGGTGCTTCAAGTTGAGGACGGCTTCCTGGAGTTTGTAGTCCATACACGAGCGTGAGAAGGTAGGGTGGGCTTCACCGCAATTGAGGCAGCGAGCCTGGGGAGAAGTCCACCGACTTAGAATGACTATCGGCCCCACACAAGGGGCACAGATACACAGTACTGGTGCATTGGAGGACACCGTGCCCGAACTTCAAACACTTATTGCATAGTCTAGCAGAGGGAATGTACTCCTGAACGGAGCATCTGGCACCAGCAAGAATAATAGAGGGCGGAAGGGTCCTACTATCAAAGGTCATTTTCACAACTCGAAGGGGCTGACGGCGACGACCATGAGGGGGTCGAGTAAACGTCTCCACCTGGAGGACAGAATGGCCTTGGGCTTCAAGGCTATGTTTAATATCCTCCTGTCAATCGTTGAGGTCCCGAACACTAGTTGCAACATGGTGCGGGAGGAGAACAGTGCCAACACTGGCATTTAACCGAGCGTTCTTCGAGACCCGAACAGGGCTCTCTCCAATGCAGGACAAAGCGGCTAAGCGAGTAGCTGCATCCTGAGAAGGAGCAGCGACGACACGCGTACCATAACTGGTGGAGTTAAAAGTAACAGAGGCATCTACTGAATCAACAAGGTTTTTATGGAGGGAGAAATCGTCAGGAGGAGTAGAATCCAGATGGTGGAGATCAAAGTATTTACCCAACGTAGCGGGACCAAACAAGGCGTTGTAAGTATTATTACGGGAAGGGATGGTGCGAGTGCGGCCGTGGCGGGAACGGCGTTGACAACCCCCTGAGTTCACGGGGGTAAAAGGTGCAGTAGTCAATGAGAGACGGAGCCATGCCAAGGGACGAGGTGGTCACCACTGGGGGCTGGGGACTCGACCCTACCACACAGGAGGGAGGGGAGTAGTCAGGTCGTCGGGGCCCAATGCAGCAGGGGCCTGGTCTTCCAACACAGTCCGACTGGAGAGCCTCGTCGCCCACCCCACGAGCCTGAGAAAATACAAGGGAAACATTATCAGCCATGAAAAAGAGGAAATACTTTCATTCACGAATGAACCTTCCTGAACCTATCTACTATAATAGGTCACTTATTTGTAAATAAATTTGAATCATACCACATTACCCTATTTTTTTTTTATTTCGTTTTCCTTACAGTATTTCATCAATTACATTATTTACCTAACTTTTCACATATACATTATTCAATACAATGCTTAATTCTTATTTTTCTCTCTACATCAACTATATATTTACCATTCGTTCATCACACATCTACTGCCCTCTATGAGCACAGTAACGACGCGCCTTTAGGCGAGTCACCCCCCCTCCCATTTTCTTTATATAACTCATTTTCACAAATACTGCTGTTTAATAACTACATTTCTACTAACAAACTATATGCTCAAAGACACTTTGCACTACAATAAACATTTACAACAAAATAATATGGAACAAACGTCAACTTCTGCCTTCAAGTATGTTTATTGAGACAATATAAAATACATCTCAAAGGGATACACTACCTCAGGCTATTTCTACCCCCCCCCCTCTACTTCAAGTCCCTCAACGGGCGCACAAATTCAATGAGTACAGATACACAAATCACAATACAACATTTAACATTGTAACACTTACTGTATTCATCTGCAATCATTGGGGCGAAATTCTTGTAGTTCCTAAGTATTCTGTCTATCATATCATTATCACACATCCAAACAATTTGAAGTGCTACACTACTTAATTATTTCTATGGTTATCACTTCCACGTCTCAGTACCTACACGAGGTTATCCACGTCTAAGGTACTCAAGCCTCTCACCTGCGAAAGTAAAATTGTATTCACCATTATGAACATTCATATCCTATAAACAATCCTTATCACCATTAGTATCTTAAATACACGTACACTTCTAAAAACTACGGAGGGGGGGGGGGGATCAGATAATACAGAGCAACGCCTGAAGGAAACTATCAAATGGGACATACATCGTTATGAAACAGTCCGTCCTCCAAAGATCCAAAAGTGATTCCATGCACCCGACAAACCCCCCGTTTATGAATGAAAAGCGGTTTACACATGACTCGACTGCTGACGTTCGAACATATCCGGAACAAGTGCTTCACTGACGATTTTTGTTCGAATCGCAACGCTATAAATGCTTCACCCACGTAATACAAATAATCGCCAACAGAACCTAAACACCTAACCTATGCCTATATACACACAATATGCCATTAAAATATTAATTCATACTTGCGAAAATTCCCGTTTTGAATGAACAGCACGTTAAAATTTATGAATGCGTCTGTGGGGTTGACCGCTGAATGTAATGGACTTTAGTCGAGGACGGATTGTATGACCCCCCCCCCCCCCCCCTCTCCGCTTACCTGACACGATGTCTGGGTGTTGCCACCTAACCATCTTGTCAGGGACCTGTGTTAACGGTTCTTCACCTGTATTTCACCATCTATGCATGTCTATACACAAATACCGTCTACCATTCATACACACACACACACACCGATCCTTCAATACTTTTCCACCATAATATAAATATTATTTAGATATACTAAGTCTTCCATCTGGTAAGGCTGGGTCTCATCACCTAATGCTCAAACTACACCACATCCAGTTGATTGACTGTAGAGAGGCGGGACCAAAGAGCCAAAGCTCAACCCCCCGCAAGCACAATTAGGTGAATTAGGCGAGTACATCCTTACAACACGTGGTGATTTAAGTGTTATGTACTACGTAACAATTATTGGGGGTAGGGGGGGGGCGGGAGATAAAGACATCTTCAAATTAACATACTCGCCTCAAGGTCACGGCCTCTTCCATTACTCTGGACTGTGGCGTTGCTCGTCCTCTCCACCCATGCCTATTGGTCCACAAATAGATACGTCATCGTTCTGTTCCGCCCTGCCACAACCTCTCCACACGCTCACCTCCTGGAAATCCATAATATGCATCAACTTATCCTCTACAACATTTCCTATTATGTCCTACAACCATCTAGGAACACTCAAATCCAATTTCCTTATATTACACAACAAAAATCCACAAATAACAAAATTTAAGTATATTTCAACATCTTCAAGATATGTCTACCAACTTTTAACACCCTTTTGAGGAAAACTACAATACATAGTAACATGTTCAACCTCTGACGAGTCCTACTTTCATATTAAATACCATCAAAGCGAAACCATGACAACCCCCCTCCAAACTCGCACTTTCTTATACATACAATTGCAGTGCTAAACGCGATTTTTTTTATTCTCCAGATTTACTCATCGCGCTAAATTACCCCCCCCCCCTAGCCTCATTTCCTTACACTTCTCGCTACCTAACATTAACTGCTCAATAACTACCTACCAATACTAATACCTATATCACCACACATTGCCCATTTCCATTGAAAAATATAGACAGATCTTCCTAGTACACAATTCTCCATTAACACTACAATCAACTAGACACCAATATACTTACTGCTACACACAACAGCCCCTGGACCAATACCTGAAGTTAATAACGCACATTTCGCCATGGCAAAGATACCAGAATGTTCCTTTCACTTCCGCCTATACTATTTAAATGTGTAATGAGGGATAGCGCGTGTTGAAACAAATATCAACACACAAATGCCCCCTCACACCCCACGTGTACCATCCCCACTCACCTACACATTCAACATACTCCAACGAGCCTCACATCTGCAGTGCAAATTAATCGACCCCCAACATTTTCATTCACTCCATGTATCAACAATAAATCATTCTTAATTTTTCAGTTTTTGACCTCTTCCTCCTATGAGGTCACGCTTATTTCAGGCACTATCATTATAATAAACTAATTTACTTACTCTAATTAAATATTAAATTGGTTATTGTTAGCAGCAGCTCTACGTCAAACAACCTACAGGTAAATATGTCTACGTCACTCCACGAGGACAGCAACGCCACGGATTTTCAAACGTTTTTCAAACGACGAGTTTTCAATTTCATTATTAAATCTTTCAGAACGTGAACAGTAATTCATGCCAAACTAGCTTCCTGTCGCATTCAACTTCAATGTTGTGGAATTTATAACTACTCTCGGCCACCCAACGTAAAATTACGTCGGTTTCAATGTCAAACCTCGCCTTCAGACTGGAGTAACTTGCCCCAACCTACAACCTATCCCCACCCAAAACCATAATTCTACAACAATACTCAAGTCTTCAGAGGGAGACGCTTCAAGTTCACTAATTGGCAGAACCCCTGGGCTGTCTCTAAGACCACAATCTGTCCGGTATTACCTCCAAGGCAACAGTTACCTCATGCTACCAATATAAATGATTCAATCATGCCTATACCATACCTTTAATTGGAACCTGTAGTTACTTTCAGTAAACTTTTGTCTATTAGCTGCTCATTTCAAATGCAAATTTTAACGGCATACATCCATAGTTAACCCACACAAGTAACGCATCAAAAACCCGTCGACACTTCAGCACCTAATACTATTAACCACTTCAGTCTACGTATTTAACGTAGTCATCCACTTAAAACTTTTATTATTTTTTCAAAAAAATAATGACAATTTAAGGGTTAGTAAGGTATAATAATTTCAAATGCCTCTCACTAAGTAATCAATAACTACTTACCTTGAATTAGCAGATATGGAGGTACGAGTTTAAGTACCACATGTAGCTCAACCAGGACATCTGCCACCACCTTCTGCTCCCCCACTGACTCGAATCATCCGTCCACCACTGCTCCCATCACAAAGGGGGGGGGGGGGTCTCCTCCACATTCCAAACTCACCAGTCGCCTCATTTCATGCGATGCCTCATCTTTCCACCATTGCCTCATTCAATAATAACTGAAATAATTACAAATACAATTAAATACACATTTATAAATATATATTACTACTGATCAGGGATCAGGAATCAAATATCTCCCTATGTATATACTCCCCAAGAGGGTATATACCCCAGTTGTAAATTATATATTTTTGACCCTATGTATTGGCGTTTTGAGGGTGTACAAAATGAGTGTAAGCTAGGGGTCTGTCAGCCCTAGCGACCCCAAAGGGTAACGGGGTACCAGCTCAGAGTAACAACACGCCCTAACACTAACTTGTACACCACAACTATGCCAATACTGGGGTCAAAATAACGTTCCGTCGAGCCTCAACCACCAAGTCGACTCAACAGCCAATCACCTTTCGAATTTTCAGTTTACGTCACAATCCCGCAAGCTCTACTGTCATTGGTCGGCTCAACCTAATTGGATACTCAAGTAATTCATGACAATTATTTATCGAAACTGAAATATATACACCCAAATGTATACCCAATGTATGATATACATACATATACCAAATGTATGAAAAACAATGTTTGACTTTACACTCACAAATGATGACTTTGGATTAATTATTACTAAATAAATATTATTATAATGATTAAATAATAATCCTACTTATTCAAGCTGTAAGTACACTACAACACACTACAGTCTAGTATAGTACAGTACCCTACAGTACAATATGGTCAAGAATAAAACAGTATAATGCAGTACAGTATAATACAGTACGGTACAGTTCATTACAATGCACTTCAGAGCAGTACAGTACACTATACGACACAACAGTACATTACCGTACACGCCAGTCCACTACAGTACTGTATACTATACAGAAGCACATTACCGTACACTACAGTATGATACAGTACAATATGGTACAGAATAGTACAGTATAATGCAGTACAGTATAATACAGTACGGTAGAGTGCAGTACAAAACAGTAAGTACAGAGCAGTACAGTATAGGACACAACAGTACACAACAGTACACTCACAGTTCGTTACTTGCCTTTCAAATGTACAAACGGCATCACCATTATAATATTTTCTAATTAAATAACTGTTTCTGGAATGGAACAACGCGTAATAAGCACAATTTTCACGCGAGATGCAAACCCAATGTACCTTCTTGTATATATATAAATAAATAAATAAGATGCGGAGAGAGGAGATTGCTGCAATGGCGGTTTATGTCAACTGACGCTAGTATCACTAACCACCATTGTTATCTGCAATGTTAAATGTTGTATTGTGATTTGTGTATCTGTACTCACTGAATTTGTGCGCCCCTTGAGGGACTTCAAGTAGAGGGGGGGGGGTAGAAATAGCCTAAGCTACTTTATCCTTTTGAGATGTATTTTTTCCTTGTCTCAATAAATATACTTGAACTTGTTATTGCATTATTACCTTACCAACCCTTCATTTTCTTCTCTAAACAACAACAATGTATATTTATATACGTGATTTAAGCCATAGATGCACACTGCCACTAGTAATAAACGATTAGATTTAACATGCAATCAAATATTGTTTTACACATTTATGCAAAGTCATCAGTCATTTTGATTAATAAAGATCTTGTACGTTACAATTTAATCATTTGAACTGTCTTTTTTGGGTGAATGGCGCTATATTATGCTATGTTAAGCTAAGCTAAGCAAGCTACTCTAGACTGGACTAGGCTAGGGTAAGCTAGCCTAGTCCAGTCTGTATCTAACTTTACCTAGCTAGGTGAGGTTAGATACAGTACCGTCAAATATAGGGTACAATACAGGGTACAGTGTAGGCTACAATACACTACATTGTAGTACACAACATTATAGTACACTACCGTTTACTACAGTATAGTACAATAGAGTATAGGACAGTGCAGTACAGGATACAATACAGTACATTTCAGTACAGAGTGCAGTACATTACAGTACAGTCAAGTATAGTAGAGTATAGTACAGCATAGTGCAGACCAGGACCTAGATTCAGGAAGCTCTGTGTATTTCTTCGTAAGTGGGTTTGCTACGAAGGTTCCTAAGTGCGCCCTAAGAAGATGCTTAGGTGCGATTCAATAAGGTCCATTTAGGAAGAAAATTGTTCGTTCACCTGCGTGCCGATAGAGGTCACTATTGTGTTTCGTTTGGCCAATCAGAGAGCTGCAACATTCTTCATATTGAAGATTTAGCGCTGGCTTATCGGAGCTCTACTGCCTCCTATTTACGTCGAATTTTCTTATAAAATTAGTATATTTCGAAGTAAAACAATGTTTTTTCAACTTCTACAGCCAGCACCGACATTGTAGTAAACAAATATGTTACATTTGTTGTTTACCTACGTAATTCTAAGAGATACTGTGTAGCTGTCCTTGTTGCTCGGAAGATGCGCTGACAATTATTGTATATATTTACTGAATTTACCCAAGGGCCACTAACTATCTAGTGACCTCGAAGAGGACAGAAAGCCGGCGGCTTGTTAAAGGGCCCGCCAATTGTCTTAATGATATTTTTTAGCTGGAATTTGGCATTTACGGCTTCAGCAGGTAGGCGGTTCCATGGGTTTATAGCCCTCTTGGTGGAAAAAAAACATGTTTTCAGTCCTACTTGAGAGAACATACTCTCCAACACTATATCTGTGATTGTCCTGTTATCAGTGACTTCATACCAAATGGTATGAGGTATTTTGAGCTCTGTAATTACTTCATACACTCAGGAATATTGGAAGATATTCTTGTGCTGCACCCAGATTTTGCCAGTGGAGGCTAATAGATCAGCATTAAGTATTTTGTTCTCTCCTAATTCCATGTATGACTGGCCATCCTGTGAGGTGAGGATGTTGGGTGAGCTTGTAGCTGGTTTTTGATCTACACTGTGTGGTCCTTTAGACAGAATAGGGAAGCAGCACATTGCTGTGTATACCTAAACGTTTAAAAATACATTGTTTGAGAGGAGTTTTGTAGAAACTGGTAAGAGTAATTATAATATAATGTTTCCATGATTCAGTGCTTACCTCTTGTGAAAATTGCTTAGAGTTGTTTAGTCAGAGTTGATTTGTTTTTTGTATTGAGGCTGGTATTTTCTAAATTGATTCCATGTACAGTATGTCTAACCATCCTGTGAGATGGGAGTATTAGATAAACTTATAGCTAGTTTTTTATCTACACTGTGTAATATTCCATATAGAATAGGGTAGCAGCACATTGCTGTGTATACCTAATCTTCTTAATAAAAAAAATCTGTAATAAAGATTTTAAATTATAGTTTGTATTATTACAAATACAGTACTGTATTATCCTTATTAAATCATGTTAACCATGGATCATTAAGATCTCATGTTGATATGTAATACAGTACAAGTCATATTTCTTTTGAACTGCTAATCCATGCTAATCATTCATTAAATTGTGCATTATGTCTCAATTTTTCACTTCCTTGGCTATACTGTACAGTACAAAAAGAGGGGAAAAATAAACCAGTAATATTTCTTTCATTATATTTTTCATTTAAATAACTGCATCAATATTTTTACAGCTGACAGGATTTGTTTTCCCATACAGGTGCATTATTTGTTAAAAAAATTTGGTTTATTGTTACACACAATGGTGCTACATAGCCTTCCCAGCTTGGTGCCTTCTTTTAATACTTACTGATTAAAAAATAAATAATAAATACATTTTATTCAGGAAAAGTACATACAGTTGATTTACAAACATAATGTTGGATTTATAGACAGAGCTAGTACATACAATACCTAAAGCCACTAATACTCATAGCATTTCGGGCAAGTTGTGGGGGAAAAAAACACAGACTAAAACTTAATAGTAATCGGGATTAGGTATAAATTGTGTTGAAAGAAGGAATACAAAATACAAAAAGGGGGGTTAACATAGCATAAATCAGCAATTGTACATGTTGGTGAACAGCGTTGTTTAAAAAATAGCAAGACATGGGTTGACATTTAGGAGGTAAGTTAGGTTACATGGAGTTAATTAGGCAGTACTTGGTTTAACTCTTAAACTGGTTGAGAGAGGTACAGCCTTTGCCATGATTCGGGAGGTCATTCCACATTCTGGGTCCCTTGATTTGTAGAGCACTTCTAGTTTGGTTACACACAGCCAAATTGAGTAACAGGAAGAGGTCTTTGACACAAATTTGTTCCATGCTAAATGTAGAGGATTCAGCTGAGTATTCCTCAAATAAAATAAGTTGCCTCAACTTATAAGGTAAATAAAATAAGCATTTCTCAAATAAGTAGCTGCCTCACCTCACTGCCTTACTGCTACATAGCCTTCCCGGCATGGTGCCTTCTTTTGATAATTACTTGTTCCACACCCAAATTGTATAACAGGAAGAGGTCTTGGACCCCTACTTCCCTCTCTCTTTTTTAATAGTCTATATAGTCATAATTATAGCTTTAAGTATTCAATGAATAAAGTTTGACATTTTTACCCTTTTCCTTACCTAACATCATTTGTGCAGCATATTTTTATTTTATGTCTCACCCAGATTTAATTTCAAAATAAAACCAAACTAAATAAATTAGAAATGGGTATGTATAGCTAAGGTGAACAGGGGCCCTTACTACTAGGTGAACAGGGGCATTTGGTGATAGTAAATGATCCCATCAGGCAGGGCTCATCACCTTCTCTCATATTTCATGTTCACCAGTGTTTATTTACTTAATAACTACTGGTATAATATCTTGCTATTATAAAACTATTTCTACTATCATCAAACACATATTTACTTCAAGTTTCAAGCAGAGAATGCATATATAACTAACACGAAGGATTCCTCTTCACTAGATTCACCAGCTATAATATTTTGGTCATGTTCCAATATCATAAATCGATCCCAGTGTTATGTAGTAGAGAAAAAATGACTTATATCCAGATTACGTAAAGCTACGAGTGGCCGAAACCACACTTAAATCCCGGAATGAACTTACGAAGGTTTTTCCACTTAGGGTAGTTAATTGAATACGGACGTAGCCGCCACGAAGGCGCTAAGACGGAAAACGCTCTTAGCTAAGAGGAAAAACCTTCGTAAGTACCTTCCTGAATCCGGCCCATCGTAAGTACTTGCGTAACTGCTTGTTAAATCCCGGAGGTCAGATATTTCTTTCATTAAACAGTAGGTTGCAGAAGGCCAATTGGGATTATATTAAGAATAATTATAAATGTTTTCCCCGTCACATTTTTCTCTGTATTAATTGTTAAATAAATATGTTACGATTCTTGACTGTTTTCGTGAATTATATAGTAGAGAAACTGATGGCTTGGAGGGACCCTGAATGCAATGGGAGTCA